GACCATCCTGGTCAACATGGTGAAACCCCATCTGCACTAAAAAACACAAAAATTAGCTGGGCATAGTGGTGTGCGCCTGTAGTCCCAGTTACTTGAGAGGCTGAGGCAGGAGAATTGCTTGAACCCAGGAGGTAGAGGTTGCGGTGAGCCGAGATCGTGCCATTGCACTCCAGCCTGGGTAACAAGAGCAAAACTCTATCTCAAAAAAAAGAAAGAAAGAAAGAAAAAAGGAAGCAGAGCATAAAAGTTTTGAAAATTTGCAGCCTGGTCACATGGTTGAAAGAAAAACACATTTTCTAAAAAGGAATTTAAGCAGGCTGCCGAAATTTGCGTAAGTAAAGAGGAGCCAAATGTTAATAGCCAAGATTATGGAGACACCTTGAAGATATATCAGAGACCTCTGTAGCAGCCCCTCTCATCACAGGTGCTGAGGCCTAGGAGAGAAGAATAGTTTCCTGAGCCATGTATGGGGCCCCACTGCCATGGTCAGCCTTGGAGCACTTCTCCCCACATCCCATTTGCTCCAGCTCTATCCTTGGCTAAATGGGACTTAGGTCAAGATACTGCTTCAGAGGGTGCAAACCATAAGGCTTGGTGGCTTTCACATGGTGTCAGAGTTAAGGCTTAGGAGCCTCTGCCTAGATTTAAAAGGATGTATGGAAAAGACTGGATGTCCCAGTAAAAACCTGCTGCTGGAGTGGAGCCCTCATAGAGGACCTGTACTAGGTCAGTACAGAGGGGAAATGTGGGGTTGGAGTCCCCACACAGAGTTTCCACTGGGCCACTGCCTAGTGGAGCTGTGAGAAGAGGGCCACAATTCTTCAGACCCCAGAATAGTAGATCCACTGACAGCTTGCACCATGCACCTGGAAAAGTTGCAGGCACTTAATGCCAGCCCTTGACAGAAACTGTGGGGGTTGAACCCTGGAAAGGTACTGGAGTGCAGAATTCCACGGCCTTGGGAGTTCACTTCTTGCACTACTGAGCACTGGAGGTGAGATATGGAGTCGAAGGAAATTATTTTGTAGCTTTAAGATTTAATTGCTTCCCTTCAGGGTTTTGGACTTGCATAAGGCCTGTAACCTATTTATTTTGCCTGATTTCTCCCTTTTGGAACAGGAGTATCACCCAATGACTATACCTCCTCTGTATGTTGGAAATAACTAATTTGTTTTTTATTTTACAAGCCCACAGGCAGAGGGTCTTGCTTCATCTCAGATGAGATTTTGGCCTTCAAAATTTTAAGTTAATGCTAGAATGAGGTAAGACTCTAAGTGACTATTGGGAAGGCATGATTGTATTTTGTATTAGAAGGAATGAGATTTGGAAAGAGTTGGGGTAGAAGTTGACACCGTTTTCTTCTGTGTCATCACCTAAACTCCTGGCAAATTGTAATCCCCATGCATTTGAAGTGGGGGCTGGTGGGAGGTGATTGGATCATGGGAGCAGAGTTCTCATGAATGATTCAGTACCATCCCCCTTGGATCATTATAGTGAGTTCTCTTGAGATCTGGTTGTTTAAAATTGTGCAGCACCTCCCCCTTCACTCTCTTTCTTCCTTCTGCTATGGCCATGTGAAGTGCCTCACTTTCCCTTGGGTTTCCACCATGATTGCAAACTTCCTGAGGTCTCCCTGGAGGAAGAAGCTGCTATGCCTTCTGTACAGCCTGCAGAACCATGAGCCAATTGAACCACTCTTTGTAAATTACCTACTTTCATGTATTTCTTTATAGCAGTGCAAGAACAGACTAATCCACATCTAATTCTAGGAGGCTGTACCCTGCTGGATATATTGCCTGGCTGACAACTCCAAAGGTGGAGTTGGAGAAAGAGGTATGCTGGCTTCAGCTGATGAAGACAGACTGAGTTAGAAAGATTTCATCTGAGACATGTTTAGTATTTTTAGTACTTTCCAGCTCTGTCCCTGAGTTTAGAGGGTTTTTTGGTTTGTTTTTTCCATGAGGAATTGAACTCAGAAAAAACATACAAGTTAATGTAAGCTCAGAGAAAATAGCTACATATAAAATTTAGCTTCTTATGATATTCATAGTTCTTTTATAAAATATTTTAGGTCAGTAGTTGTCCAACTGTGGTTCCTAGACCAGCAGCATCAGCATCACCAGATAGTATTTTAGAAATTCAAATGATCAAGCCCCATCCAAAATCTACTTCATCAGGAATTCTGGAGGGGTCTAGCAATGTGTACCCTAAGAAGATACACTCTCTTTATTACTCTTGGATAAAGTCTGGGAACCATTGAATACATGGTGTTGGAAGAAGTTCAATATGATCTAGACCAGGGATCAGCAATATTTTTTTTTGGAAAAAGACCAGATAGTGTAGATGATAAGTATTTTAGACACTGTGTTCCATACAGTCTCTCACAACTATGAATTTCTGCCATTGTAGCACAAATGAGCCATGGATAATAAGCAGATTAATATGAACGCTTATGTTTTAATAAAACTTTAATTGCCAAAATAGGAGGTGAGCTGAATTTGGCTAAAAGCCTTAGTTTGTTAACTAGTGTTCAATCTTGATACATAGTATTTATCAAGCCAAAGAACATATAATCAACTTTAACTAATAGACAAATTGTTATTACTACTATTTTATAGAAGAGGAACTGATGCAAACATTGGCTAATTATGTCTCTAAGTTCTTCCTAATTAGGATGTATTTAAAACTAACTTCTAAGCTTCTTATTTGCACATTAAAGCCTCTTTCCCACTGGATACATGAAATAGAATTTAGAACAGTTTTAGAGCAGTTAGAATACTTTTAAAAGAGATAAAAATAAGTTTCCTGAAAGAATAAATATTTCATAGTTTGCTCAATATGGAAAAAGTTTAGAAGTCATCACCCTCATCCTCAGAACAAGAAAAAAGCCAAACTGAAAAATCAACAATACTCCTTTAATCTGTCAGAGAATATAGGTGACAGGGCAAACTGTACCCTGAAAAATGGAGAAGTAGGCAAATAAAGAGAATAACTACTTATTCGAGGAGCAGAAGCCCACATCTGGAGCCAGTGCAAATAAAAACAACAGTTGAATGAGCAATGCTGAAGACTGAGCATGAGCTAGCTTGGGAGATAAACACTCCTCCATGTCCAGTCTTAGATGGGCTGCTGCCACATTTTCATGAGCTTTACTTCAACAAGCTTTACCAGCTTCTCATTAAGAAAACTGGGGGGAAAAAAATCTCCTTATGGCAGGAGGAGCAGACATATACTCATTTTTGAAACACACCCAAAGATTCTGTTCTTAATAAAAGTCCATCCTTCAAAAAAACTATTTTACCAGAGCCTAGGTAATTTGGATTTTCTCAGAACCTAACTGACCTTTCAGGAAAGGAAATACCAAACACCAGTCCCCTCTAGACTTCATGTTTTGTCTAAGTGAGAAGAAAAATCAAGAAGTATTTGTAAAATTCACAACCAAGGGGTAGAGGCCCACTAAAAAATTAGATCTCATTACAGGATTTTAGAATGATTCCCTTTTTCTTAACACTTACTATCACATTAATTGGAATTCCTTATAAGAACAAGGAATTACAGCTGAAAGAACTGCAAGCTTCAGTCCTATTTAAGAAGAAGTCTATAGAAAAACCTAAAAACCACAGCATAGAAAAAATAACATTAGAGGAAATTTAGCTTCTCATGCCGATAGCTACAGTGAATAGTAAATATAGCCTAACTCCTAGTTAGATAATCGTAAAACTTTACACTAAAGAACTATTTACCTCACTTGCTTTTATCTGCTATATAATGTTTGGCTTTCAACAAAAAAATTATGCAGCATGCTAAAAAGACAAAAATTACAATCTGAAAAACAAAGCAAGCATTAGAACTAGACTCAGATGCAGCAGAAATCTTGGAGTATCAGAATGAGAATTTAAAATAACTATGGTCAATGTGGCAAGGGTTCTAAAAGAAAAAGAGTATCACATGCGCATGAATAATGTAAGCAGAGAAATAGAAACTCTGAGAAAGAAACAAAAGAAAGTGTTAGGCATCAAAACAGAAACAAGTATAAAATGGTCAATAAACACATAAGATAATTCACTATAATTTGTAATGAAAGAAATGCAAACCAAAAGAATATTTTTTTCACTTCTCAGAATGGTTAAATACTTGGAAACATCAAACTCTTATGAGAATGTTGAGAAATAAATGTACATTTTCCTGTACTGTTAGTAGAAGTACAAAATCTTTACAGGGCAATTATCTATCAAAATCAAAATGCTTATTGCAGATAGCTTTCTACCAAGTAACACATCTTATCAGAATTTAGGTTTGCATATATTGCAAATGCACTTGATATAATAAAAGTATATTCATAATATCCTAGGCTTTTAGGGAAGACAGGGTTACAGGATGATAAGGCACTAGCATTGCCATTCGTGACTCTCAAATCAAAAATATGTGTAAACGTAGACCCCTGACCTCGTGGTTGAACCCTCATAACCACAACAGTTCTCCATAAGGGAAAAAGCTCTGATCTTTATTGATTACCAATATGCCTTACGTAAGTACTTCCATTATATGCAATTCCAAGCTACCCAAATGAAGTCATTGAACAAATTTTGAAAAAAAAAAAAAAAAAAAAAACAGTACCCATATGGATGAAGAATATTCCATTGTTTATATATAATATATTTTATTAATCCATTTGTCTCAGGTTGATTTTATACCTTTGCTATTGTGAATAGTGCTGCCATACAGATGGGGGTGCAAATATTCCTTGTACATAATTTCTCTTCCTTTGAATAAATATGCAGTAATTGGGTTGCTGGATCGCATATTAGCTCTATTTTTAGTTTTTGAGAAATCTTCCTATTGTTTTCCATAGTGCCTATATTAATTACATTTCTATCTAATATTTGAACATAAAAAAGGAATGAAAGTCATGTCATTTACAGCAACTTGGATGGAACTGGAGGTCATTACATTAAGTAAAACAAGCCAGGCACAAAAAGACAAATATCGCATGTACTTACTCACACGTGGGAACTAAAAAGTTGATCTCATAGAGGTAGAGAGTAGAATGAGAGATATCAGAGGCTGGGAAGGGTGAGCCATGTTGATGAGAGAAACAGAGAGGTTGATTAATGGGTCTAAACAAACAGATAGAAGAAATAAGTTTAATAGCAGAGCAGAGTATCTATAGTTAATAACAAAGTATTATATATTTTAAAATAGGTAGAAGAGAGGACTTGAAAATGTTCTAAACTTATAAAAGTGATAAATACTAGAGGTATACCCTGACCTAATCATTAGCCATTCTATGCATGCAACAAAATATCACACATACCCTATAAATATGTATAAATATTATGAAACAATAAAAATATTGAACAAAATGTGCATGTTTGGTTTTCCCATGTCTAGGTTAGCTGACTCCAGCTCATCTCACCCTTTAACAGCCTCTTAGCCAAGCAAGACATAAGATCTTGGTTTAGATACGGCTCTCAAAAACTGGAATTTAAAAAAGATCAGGTGTGGCTTAAAGTCATGCAAACACACAAACACACACACACACACAAAACTAACTAAAACTTTATAGTTTTACTAAACTGTAAAGTAAATATTGAACACCAAGAAAGAAAAACCAAAAGTTAAATACCAAGACACTGGACAGAGAGAGAGAGGAAAAAAAAAAAGAAAACTCTCCTACACAATAGTTTCCCAATTTAGCTCAGCAAAATAAAGTACTGGAAAGTAGATCCAGGAAAGATATTCAAAAAAGTTCAGTGCCCAGTAGAAAAATCAAAGATACAGTACCTGGAACTTTACCTAATGGCAAGATGGTAGCAACTAAGAGGCTGAATTTGTTTTAATAGCAATTTACTGCAGCCTTGCTAGCACAGAGGAAGTGTTCTTTGTTGAAAGAGCAAAAGTGGAAATGTATAAATAAGGTGATGCTTCTTACATCATAATGCATGATAGTGGGCACTATGAGTCACTTGGCAGGAATTAGGTAACAGCTATTGGGAGAAAATATCAACCTACCTGCTAAAGTTGGAAATATTTACTTCCTTTTCATGTAACTTAATTATTTCTAAAATAAAGTATGAATATATAAATTACAGGCAAGACTGCAGGAAAAGGGAAATGCTTATACATGCTTATACACTGCTGGTGGAAATGTAAATTAGTTCAGCCACTGTGGAAAGCAAGATGGAAAATTCTCAAAGAACATAAAACAGCACTACTATTCAACTCATCAGTTCAGTTACTGGGTATACACCAAAGGGAAAATAAGTCATTCTACCAAAAAGATGGATGCGCTTGTATGTTCATTGCACTACTGTTCACAATAGCAAAGACATAGAACCAACCTAGGTGCCCATCAATGTTGGATTCAGTAAAGAAAATATACATATAGACTATGGAATACTATGTAGGTCATAAAAACAAACAAAATCATGTCCTTTGCAACAACATGGATGAAGCTGGAGGCCATTTTTCTAAGCACATTAACACAGGAACAGAAAACCAAATCTCACATGTTCCCACCTAGTAGAGAGAGCTATATATTGGGTACACATTTGATGTGAAGAGGAGAACAATAGACACTGAAGATTACTAGAGTCAGGAGGGAAGTAGGGCACCAAGGGCTGAAAAGTTACCTGTTGGGTACTATGTTCAGTACCTGGGTCATGGTATCCATAGAAGCCCAAACTTCAGCATGAGGCAATATACCCGCATAACAAAACTTCACATGTACCCCCGAATCTAAAATAAAAGTTGATTTTTTTTTTTATGAAAGAGAAAACTGACTCATGCTGGCATCCTGACCTGGAACTTCCATTGTAAGAAATGTGTTTGCTTTTTAAGCTACCCAGTATACGGTTATTTTGTTGTATCAGTCAGAACCGACTAATACAGATTAGTTTCTGATTTGACAGAAGTGATTTACTCAAAAGTATATGACATATCTGCAATGTTCATACAGACTAGGCAAAGATTCAGGAAAACATCATTGCATAGAAGGAATTAATTCATGATGCAGGCATATTATGAATTATAAAAAGTATTAAGCTTTCCTAGGTATTAAATGTCACAAGGACTGTAATGATACCTTTTGGGACAGTACACTGCAGAAGGAAATTTTTGATTCTTATATCCATGATAATGCATTTTTAGACTAAAATAAGGCACCTAGTTTCAGAGCTTTTAGCTAGGTTCTTTCAGATTTGATGATCTTTGTGACAGACTGCTATTGTAGAAATAGCACTAAACGATTCCCTTGAGCTGAATTTATAGATAAAGTACGTCTACATTTTCCTGGAGAATTGGTAGAGAATGTATTATTTCACCTTTCCTTACTCTTGATAGCTATTTTAAAGAAAGATTGCTCCATTTCCATGTTCAACAGTCTGAAGAGATTTCATGGTCAGAGAATCATAATTTTCCCAATAAAATGTAACTTCTCAAAATCTTTTGGCCTTATACCAACATGTACATCATTCAAATTCGCCTTATTAAAAATTGTTTTAATATATCTTCATGAGCTAGTAAAAGAAAAAATAATTCCACTCACGAATAGAAGAGAAAAGCTTAGCACATTTTATAGTTTTTGTAAGACTACTCCTGCCTATCTAATTTACCTAAGAACTTTATAAAGAGTAACTGGAATTGTCATTTGATTTATATCAATGAAAATGGAAGGAATTGAAGCAATTTTTAAACTGTTGCATCTGATGATAGAGCTGTAACTACAAATGATTTCCATATTCCTTAGCCATTAAATCCTTCACTCCCATCATTCAGGCCACTGAATTATACAGTGAATATAAAGAGGAGGATCTATGAAGTAGAGCACAGTGTGGGGCATGGGTAGCCTGCTTCATCCATTGAAAATAAATGAACTGTTTTGACTAAAACTATTTTTAGTCAAAATTAGATTTCCCTAAAAGTTTTGGATTAGATAAACATGGCTTGTGAAAAATATAATTTCTTTAGGGTGGTGCATCAAGATTTGGAGCAGAAACTGCCAAATGGCATCTTACTTGGTTTTGTGGCCCAGAAATAATATTTTCCCTCAAAAATCAATAAATCAGTAATATGAGAAACCAGTGCCAGTCTCAGGCAGAGACAACACGCTCACATTAGAAGCCAAGGCACAGATAAGAACATGAAAATAAAGAAATAGAATAATGGCAGTCATCATCAATAGAAACATGGAGTAGATGGAAAAGATCTTTGTGGGAGGAAAATATTAATAGAATATTTAACAAGAGAATCAGAAGAGAATGGGTAAATATTGCTTTTAAGGGCACATGGACATAATAGTGTAATAAAACCTGGAGAAAATAAGTATGGTAAAAAGAAAAGTCTGAAGGAAAAGAAGAGAATCCCTAAGACGCTTCTGAAAATATCACCAGGGCTTCATGGGAATAGGTATGAAATAGGAATGAAAACAGGTCACTGCTGAGAAATTTGTGACATTCCTGAAAAAAAAAAAAGAGAGAGAGAAAAATACAGATAGATGAGAATACAAAATAAAATGAAATGCTAATTTAGTTATACATTACTAGGTAAAATTTGGTTTGAATTATGATGTCATATGTATTGCCAAATAAACATCAATTATTAAGTCAAATTTTAGTGACCTGAAAATTTATCGGTAACATTGCAAATGTTCAAATCCACAAGCATATGTGAGATCCTTTGAGCACCATCCTTTAGTTGTTATTAATTTACCTAAGAAAGAGAAAGAGGAAAAATTCTGTAGTAGAAAGGGTGCATCTAGAATTCTCTTTCTTGTATTATTTCCTGCACTGACAAAGTAATTCTGTTCTTGCTGTCAATGAAAGGGCCAATTTCCCCAAAGTGCCACCATGAGAATTATTTCCTAGACAATAAAGCAATCACCATGGCACAATATACATTATGTACATTAGTTCTTTCCATATGTTATGGGAAGAAGTCCTGGACATCAGCTGGAAGTGTCTCGAATGAGTCTTTACAGAAAGCCTAAGACATATGTAACACCTAACTAAACATTCAACGTGTTTAGAAATTTGTTCTTCTGCCAAAGTTAATTAAACAGAGGAGAGATACCTGTGTAAAGGACATCAATCCTGATAACCATGGTTTTCTTGTGCTGCCTAAGCACAGACAAATGATACTCTAGTGAAGAATTTAAAGAACTTGTTGCCCAAATGAAGGGAAAGCAAACAAAATGACAAGTTATTTCATGTACATATGGAAAAACAGAATCAGAGAGTCATCTGAATGATATGGTGTAAGAGTTGGAGAATAGCTCAATGATCCATAGAGCCAACATGTTCACTGGCTATTCATGTTCTAGCAAAGAACATATCTTCTTTTTTTATCACTATATAGCATTCAAATGAAAAAAATTTAAATGTCATTTAAGAATTCCTCCTCTTTCTGTTCCATAGGACAATTAATAACACCCAAATAACAGTGCTCAAAGGATCCCACATATGCTGCATGGATTTGAACATTTGTAATGTTACTGAATGTACCAGGTTTTTTTAATCTAGTCTACCATTGATGGGCATTTAGTCTAATTAGATCCCATTTGTCAATTTTTGCTTTTGTTGCAATTGCTTTTGGCATCTTTGTTGTAAAATCTTTGCCTGTTTCTATGTCCAGAGTGGTACAGGCAAGTTGTCTTCCAGGGTTTTTATAGTTTTAGGATTTACTTTTAAGTCTTTTATCCATCTTAAGTTAATAGCTGTATAGGTGAAGAAAGGGGTCCAGTTTCAATCTTCTGAATATGGATAGCCAGTTACCGCAGCACCATTTGTTGAATAGGAGGTCCTTTCCCAGTTGCTTGTTTTTGTCAGCTTTGTTGAAAATCATTTAGTTGTAGGTGTGTAGCCTTGTTTCTGGGTTCTCTATTCTATTCCATGGGGTGTGTGTGTGTGTATGTGTGTTTACCAGTACCATGCTGTCTTGCTTACTGCCAGTAATATAGCTTCAAGTCAGGTAGTGAGAGAAAGGTGTCTTTGTCTTGTGCTCCTTTTTAAGGGAAATGCTTCCAGCTTTTGCCCATTTAGTAAAATATTGATTGCAGCGTTTTTTTAATAGATAGCTTTAGTATTTTGAGGTATGTTCCTTTAATACCTAGTTTATTGGGAGTTTTAATATGAATAGTTGTTGAATTTTATCAAAAGCTTTTTTCTCACAAGATAAGTAATGTGGTTTTTGTCTGCAGTTCTGTTTATATGATGCATCACATTTATTGATGTGTGTATGTTGAACCAACCTTGCATCCAAGAGATAAAGCCTACTTGATTGTGGCAGGTTGGCTTTTTAATGTGCTGCTGGATTCGATTGGCTAGTATTTTGTTGAGAGTTTTACATTCATGTTCATCAGGGTATTGGCATGATATTTTCTTTCTTTGGCTGTGTTTTTTCCAGACTTTGGTTTGATAATGCTGGCCTCATAAAACAAGTTAAAGAGGAGTCCTTCCTACTTAACTTTTTGGATGGTTTCAGTAGAAATAGTACCAACTCTTCTCTGTACATCTGGTAGAATTTGGCTGTGAATCCATGTAGTCCTGATCTTTTACTGGTTGGCAGACTTTTTATTACTACTTCAATTATGGAAGTCATTATTGATCTGTTCAGGGATTCAATTTCTTCCTGGTTTAATCCTGGGGTGGGTGGGGGTTGTAGTTTCCTAGGAATTTATCCAATTCTAGATTCTAGTTCGTGTGCATAGAGGTGTTCTTAGTAGTTTCTAAAAGATTTTTTTTGTAGTTTTCCATGGGGTTGGCAGTAACATCCATATTGCCAGTTCTGATTGTGTTTATTTAGCTATTGTCTGTTTTTTCATTATTAGACTAGCTATTGGTCTATCTATATCATTTATTGTTTCAAAAATCCAACTCTTGCATTCATCAGT